TTGCTAAAAGTCTTATCCTCCTCTAGGTTGGTTTTAAATACATATATACACACACACACACATATATACACACACACAGACACATATGTATATATACCTAAACATGTACATATTTGTGTAACATGTATATTTTTTGGCATATAAAGGTTGTGGATATATGGGGAGAATTTATCACCACCCTTATGAAAACAACTCAAGTTACATTACCTCCAAAAAGAGGGTCAACATCATGATTTATATATTCCTCCTCAACAGTCATCATTTGTTTGCACAGAAACTGGTTATCTGAGAATACTCATTCTACTTTTATTCTGATATTTGTGAATATGAATTTGATTAGAAACACTACTTTTAATATGTTTGCTAAGAGTCCTGTTACAGTTGTGACAGATACTTTTACTCGCCAGTGAATTCTTCTTTTGTAAAAACAATTTTTCATCACTCTAAAATGTTTTGTACTTGTTATTTCCAAATTTTATGGCTATGTAGATTGCTTCCAGTTTAGTGATCTGAGATAAGATGTATTACAAAAACGTATTTCCATTTCTATGTCATCAAAGAGAAAATGGAGAAAGATACAAAGTTCATTTTTTTTCCTCCAAATTTTGTGTCTGTGATTGAGCTGCTGACTTTGTGGAGAAGGATTCCCCTCTCCACAAGGGTTTCAAAACATTGCTTGTGAATCCGAAAAGCAGAAGCTCACTCTGAGTCCAAAGTTTCAGCTGTTTGAACTCAGTGCAACTCATAGTGTATTGAAGAACAGTAACCAGAAAGAAAGAGAAATTAAGTTAACCATTTCTCTCTTCTTTTCACTTGTCAGACTACATCTGTTTAGCCTTGACCTCAAATTTCAAATGGGGTATTGACATATTAAAATGCCTGTGGTCAAAACTCGACAGGAAACAAAGTGTTGTAAAAGATAGCTGAAGAATCTGTAGATGTATTCGTTTGCTAGGGCTGCCATAACTAAGTTCCATCACGAACCGGCTCACTTAACAGACCTGTTTTGTCTCACAGTTCTGGAGGCTAGCTATCTGAAATCAAGATGCTGACAAGATTAGTTCCTTCCGAAGGCTGTGAGGGAGGGCCCTTTGTCTGTTCCAGGCCTGTCTCTTAGGCTTGTAGACGGTGTCTTCCTGCAATTTCGTATCACCTTCCCTCTATACATGTTTCTGTGTCCAAATTCCCCCTTTTTATAAGGAAATTTGTGATGCAGGATTAAGTTCCACCTTTTAACCTTACTTGAGCTTGATTACCTCTGTAAACACCCTATCACCAAGTAAGGTCACATTCTAAGGTACTCAGGTGTGAAGTCTTCAACACACAAATGTTTAGGGGAAACAATTCAGTCCATAACATTGTCTTATTCCATTCAGTCTAACATAACAAAATATCACAGACTGGGCGCTTTATTCCTCACACCCCTGGAGTCTTAGAAGACCAAGACCAAAGTGCCACTAGATCTGGTGTCTGGCGAGGGTCCTCTTCATAGATGGCTGTCTTTTCACTGTGTCCTCACATGGCAGAAGAAACAAGAGACTTCTCTGGGGTCTCTTTTATAAAGGCACTAATTCCATTCATGTACAAATGTTTTAGAGGGTATATAATAACTATTTTCAAATTTCGGAAGACTGTGCTGAAAAAGAGGGATAAGATTTTTCTGGGCTGCTCTGAAAGACAAAACTAAAATGAATATATAAAACTAGGGAAGTAAAAATTGTCATTAAACATAAACAATACATTATTTGAGAACTCGTGTATTTCATAAGAAAGGCTTTGGATTTTGCAGTCATTGAGACAATGATACAAAATCACCTCACCAATAATTGCTAGCAGATGAGGACTTACATTTTTGCCTTCTCTCAGTCTTGGCTATTCCCTCTTAGTAAAACAGGGGTAATGACACCTATTTCATATGATTGCTGTGAAAGCTATATGAGATTATGTATATTTGACATCTAGCACTGTGTTCAGCCCAGATTACAACCTTAGAGAAGATGATTAATAATATTACTATTACTATTTTGAGTTTTCTAATTATTCTAAAGTAAAGAGACTATTTCGAAGAATTAAAATACTGGGTAGAGGGCCACTTTTCACGATATTACAGCAATTCTTATATTGTTTGGAGGTCAAATAAAGGATTTTTAAAAGTGACTTATACATTAATATTTTATGGTTCTGGGAGAAGCTGAAAGTAGATTGAGTAACCTAGGTTTTATATCTTCCTCAAACCCCCACCCCCACTAGACAAAAACAAGAGTTTCTATTGCTTTGGTTGTATCATTCCTCAACTACTTAATTTCATAACTTGTAGCAATATTTCCCCTGTCATTGTTTGATTAATGTTTAAAAATGCCTGTACAAACACCAACATCAATTTTAATGTAATCTTCAATGTCAAATATTATCACAAAATGCAGCACTGAATATTCAACTGTTGCAGCTCCTTGAAACTGAATGAATGCTCCTAAATACAAGTCTGCTGTGGGTTTATTGGAATAAGTACAAATTAATCTCTTCCTCATAAAAGGAAATATAGAGGATCCATCATCCATTCATTCATTAATTCCTAAGTCATCAAGGAATTGTGTGTCCTGTTGTGTGTCCTGAGACTGCTAGGCTTTGGGAATACAAATGCTTAGCAGTCTCAGGGCACACAGCAGGGTATACATCAGGGAAAGTGCCATCTTGCAGGAGCTTTCAGTTTAGTGGAGAAAACATCCAGGTAGACATTGGTTTATGACAGTGTTACTGCAGGTGATACGGTTTGGCTGTGTCCCCACCCAAGTCTCATCTCAAATTGTAATCCCCATGTGTTGGAGGAAGGACCTGGTAGGAGGTGATTGGCTCATGAAGGCAGACTTCCCCCTTGCTGTTCTCATGTTAGTAAGTGAGTTCTCGTGAGATATGGTTGTTTGAAAGTGTGTGGCACTTCCCCCTTTGCTTTCTCTCTCTCTCTCCTGCCCTGCCGTGGTAAGACGGACTTACTTCCTCTTTGCCTTCTACCATGATTTTAAGTTTCCTGAGGTCTCTTAGTCATGCTTCCTGTTAAGCCTGTGGAACTGTGAGTTGATTAAGCCTCTTTTCTTCATAAATTACCCAGTCTCAGATAGTTCTTTATAGCAGTGTAACAGTGTACTGGTATAGCAGTTACTAAAATGAGCACTTAGCCACAACTTTGATGGTCAGGAAGGGCTTGGCAGAAGAAGTGTTTCTAAGCTTAGACTATAATGGTTAGTAGGATTTCACAGGTAAAAAGGGGAGGAAAGAGTGCTCTGGAAAATATAAAAGTATACGTGAATGTTCAAGAAAAAATATGCATCAAAGAAGGAATTAACCCGGGGTGAGAAGGAACACGACATGGTGGAAAAACTGCATGAGTCCAGAGTCAGAAGACCTTCTGTAGCCGTTAAGTAGTGATGCCCGTTTCCCATCCATGAATGCAGGATGCACTGTGTAACGCTCAGAATGCGAGGCAGCTTTAGTGTTCATATATTATTTAAGATCTCTTATGCAAATTTTTTAAATGATGACACTCTTATAATGAGATATGAAAAACAGATTGGGGATGACTAGATGTTGAGTTGCTAAAAACCAAATCTCTTTCTTTCTCATCTTTGCAATAATTCACAGTGCCTAGCATGGTGAATTTATGTAAAATTGAACCAAGATATGCTTCTCTAGGCAAAAGGAGTTTAACGTGGAGTCACTCCACAAGTACTGGTTTTTCCATTGGAGAACTGAATAAGAATGGACTCGTTCTGCTAAGAGGAAAGCTCAGTCTTCCTTGGTGCAAAATGAAGCTCTCTGTGAAGTGCTCTGCGGAGTACTCAAACCAGAAGCCAGATCACGGAGGCCTGACGGACTTGTAGCAGTGGCTCTTAAACTATTTTACCACAAAATAAACTTGGTGATTTGTTTAGAATACAAGTTTCCTTGTTTTAGCTTCCTACAATCTAATTGTGTTGCCCCAGGCAGAAGCACATGAGTCAGATATACACTCAAGTTTCATTGCCAGAACCAAGTTCTTGCCCCTCACGTTGTATCTTTCCTGTGTTTTCAACCTTTCGTCTCACTTTAAACCCTACCTCAATCCTTGCTTCAACCACGTGGAAGTGGCTCAAACATAGCAGTTTATTCATGCCTCTATGCCTCTGTTATCAGCCCTCCCTCTATCTTAAAATGCTTTTGCCCTTAAAATGCAGTGTTCTGTTCCCCAGGTAACTGCCCACACATATTTCAAGACTCATCTATTTTAAATTTCTTCTCTGCCTTTCTTGTTTAGACTTGACCACTCACTCCTTAGTGTCTTTACTTTAACCCTGACCTGTGATGTAATCTATAAAACATTTCTCCACTTATTTTTTACACATTTCTTTCTTCTCTATTACAGTGTTTGATACAATAAGCACTTAATAAATGTTTGCTAAATGGATAAATGCATGAATGTATGAATGAGATACATTCTAAAACAGTGCTTAAAGCATGGATTCTGCAGTTAGACTGCCTGGTTTCAAATCCTTTCTCTATCACTTACCAGATGTGTGAATTTAGGAAAGTTACTTTAAGCCTCTCAGTTTCTCAATTATAAATGAGAATGATAATTATAGTATCTGCCTCAGGTAGCTGTTAAGAGGTTTTAAATAAACTAATATTTGTAAAGCTATAAAGCACTTAAAAGAATGTCTGGAACATGGTGTTATCAGTGTTCATAAAATAAATGAATATACTACAGCAGAGATGAATGTTTACATTTATATCTAGAAACAGGGATTGAGAGCAGAGACAAATCCACAAGATGTAAGAAGAAAAAAGTGATGGGCTTAATGATTGAGGAAGAAAAAGGACTGGGATTAAGTCTTGGGATTCTAATAGTCACTAGGAGGGGTCGGCAAGTTTCTTCCATTAACTCATTACTTTTAATTATTTGATCATAAGAAAGGAGAGTCTGGCTTTGTGGAAAAACACACAGTCAGTTTCATTAGAAAAGAGAGAGTCAGATGTTTTTAAAACAACAACAACAATATGCCCTGAATAGTAGAGAAACAGAAGAGCGATTGATCTACAAAGGCAAGACTCAGATTGAGACCACAGCGAACCTGCAAAATAGAGGAGCCCCTGGGTGGGAGAGGATATAGTTGAAACTCTGGGAATGTAACATGCATGGTGTGCTCATCTGACAGACAGGGCAGTTTAGGGGAATGAGTCTCTGCAGCGTTGTAGTGAAGAGAGGATACAGGACGACTGTAGAACCACAGCTCAGCCAAGAGTAAGTGTAAATTTCTTGATCTCTCTAAAGTCTCTCTTTTCTGTTAAATGCAAATAATAATGCATGCTTCATTCAGCAAGTTATTGTGAGGACTAAAGGAGACAGTATTTGAAATTACTATGTAACAGAAAATAAGGTACAGATAATCCTCAGTACGAGCACAATAATGTGGGACTGCCAAGATGATTGTGCAAAGCAATCTTAATAATCAATGAGAAAACTAATGATTGGGCCTTGGCCTTTAAAAAGTTTTGCCAAAACATCAAAATCTTTCTTGCTGTCATTGACAAAGGTACAAGTAAATAAAAATAATAAAACTAATACCTAGTACAATATAACTTAAAACATGAGAAATGTTTAAAACTAACGTGTTTTACTTTTCATAAAAACTTATCAAAAGTAGTTTAAACCATGTTTGCCCCCTTGTCATGTAACTGGCAATGTGGAGCACCATCTTTCTTTACGCACTGGTGAACTGTCGTACGCTTTTCTAAGTTCAGAATGCCTTCCGGCATTGTATTCTTTGTTCTTTCAGTGTCTTGAAACACCTCTAAGAGTTTTTTCTAATGTGAAAATGTTCTGCCAGCATTACTTCCTCTAGGACATCTTCATTCTGTTCATCACAACTACCTTTCTCATTTATGTTAAGTTCTCTTTCAGTAAATTTTCGTGGCCTCATACCCAGAAACTCAAATGACAGCAATGTCAATATTCCATTGTCAGCTGTCTTCTTATAGGATCTAATTTCACATCCAGCATTATTGCTTTTCATTTCTTTACTGCACTTTGGTCTCTTGCACAATTTCTTCTTTTAATCATCTGTTTTGTAAAATGTCACGTGAGTTTATGATTGGAAGATGTGGAGGCAACACAATTACATGCTTTGCTGGGTGGTAACTGAGTAACAGATGTGCAGTAGCCATACTGAGGTGATCCGTCACTGATCATGGTGTGCATCTGCTATTTATGTAGTGATTTCTGAACTGAAGTGCTATCAGTGAGGTTAGAACTTCATGAAATTGCAGTTAATATACCATGGTTAATGAAACGTGAACCATGTTATTGAGGGACTGGTGTTATTTAACTAAACCATGGTAACTGAAATTGATACATATGAATTAGCAAATCGAGAGCTGCCAGTATTTTAAATTTCATCCTTTAAATGTTCTTAATTTCTTTTTAATCAGCAAGACTTATGTTTTTATGCACACCATTGTGATGAGGATCCCAAGATTTTGATGGCTAAGCTGCCATTTGAGTAAGAGGTTCAGAAGTAGGCTTAGTTCCTAACCCCACTCTCTACGTGATCCTCCTTCCCACACCATTCCAAACATATCAGTGTGGCACACACCCAGGCTGAGAACCACTGCTCTAAAGCCTTCCACATAATTGAAAGTTTAGTCACTCTAGCTTTGAATTTTTCTACTTAAAAAAAAAAAATTATTAAGAAAGTTCTTAATTTAGAATTTTTGTGTCTTTGCTTTTAGTTATTTCTTCTTATTTTGTTTTTGCTTATTTCATTTCCATTTGCTCATTTCATTGTAAAGAAATGGCTCTGAGAGAAATTTAAATTACCTTTGACTTTTCAGGCTGTGCCCCTAGATCTCACGGCACCCCTTTTCCCTCTTTCCATCACAAGAAACAAAATTAAGAATAAACATAAGGGGAGACAATGTGAGTGAGAAAGAACAGAAATATAGCCCCATGTAAATTAAAATGTCAAAAATAAAATAATCACATATTTTAAAAGGATTTTTCCATTAAACACGGGAATTAAATAAGAATTTATGATAGAGAACGAGGTTTTGGGAGACAAAAGCTTTCATGAAAATGTTTAGATTTATTTTTTAATATCAAGTATTGCAAATATTCTAAATACTAAATAATAGGGAAATGGCAGAAAAATATACTAACTAGGTGGAATATTACATAAATTTAGTGACTGTAATTGTCAGTTTTAAATACATTGTAGCAAGAAGGAAAAATGCAAAAGGTAGAATGTGAAGTGAAAAAAGTAGGAAACAGAATACTTTCTCTGTAAGACAACAATGCAAGGGAGTTGATGCTTCTGCCCCTTTCCTCAGAGCAGGAATGCCATTGCTCTCTCCCTCCCAGCACAAGCAACAAGGTGATGCTCGGCCAATTCCTTAGAGTTACTACTCAGAAGAAACACTTCAAGGAGAAATAGTAACTGGCATGGCAAGGTCCTGTTATCTTCAGGTTCCAGGCATTAATAGAATGAAAATAGTAGACAAAACCCATCCTGATGTTTAACTTAAGTTTAATAGTATGCTCCACTCTGAATTTCTAAGCCTAACCCCAACCACATCCCAAATTGTGTATCAGTGTGGCCCACTGCCAAAAAGAATATAATAATATTCCTAATAGTGGATCATAGTTATACCCAGAGGAATAGAAGGTCAATTTACCTGGAATTCCTTCTCCTCTTGTTGTGAAGCAGGTTCACTGTGTACTGGTCACCAACTTGTCTGAGTCCAGTGAGACAAAACACCTGTGCATACAACAAACTGCATGAAGAGACTTTTTACTACTTACAGATAGACAGCAAGGGACAACAGAAGCCTGTGACACCTTGTAAGCCAGTCTGCAAGTCTCGAGAAATTTGCCCAGGATAGATGTAGTGTCCTCAAAGACTCCTTAAAGAATTCCAGTCGCATCCTGGTGGCGTCCCAGCTGGCTTGTAACCAGAGAGGTTGTCTCTTCTGATAACTTTGCATCCTGAAATGGTGCAAACGAATGCATAAATAACTGATCTTTTGGTCTTTTGAAGGAATCTACTCCCCAGTGTGTTTCTAATTCTCTAGGGTAGAATGTTTAGAGGAGGACAAATAAACTCCCCTCTTGATAATATTAATCCTCTTTTATAACATATCTGGACATGTGTTACTTTTCTATTGTCCTTTTAACATGAGTGAGAAGAGAGAAGAATAAAAGGGATTCCAAAATATATGGACTGTGAAATACTGAAAGCTGAGGATTGGGAATTCATAGAGACTATTTCTCTGGATACTATTTTTCTTACAGCACAACTACATGACTGAAGACAGAGCTCATCTGGGTCAATGTTTCAGAAAATGTTGCCAAGTTACTTCTTCAAATGCAGATTCCTGGACCTCAGTGCAAACTACCATGTTAGAAGTGACAGTTGGGGTGAGATGGAGGAGAAGTGATATTGATAACCTGCATTTTTTTAAACTTTTATTTTAGTTTCAGGAGTACATGTGAGGGTTTGTTATATGGGTAAGCTCATGTTACAGGGTTTTGTTGTATAGATTATTTCATCACCCACATATTAAGCCTAGTACCCAATAGTTACTTTTTCTGCTCCTCTCCCTCCTCCTATCCTCCATGCTCAAGCAGACCTCAGTGTCTGTTGTTCCCTTCTTTATGTTCATGAGTTCTCATCATTTATCTATCACTTATAAGTGAGAACATGTATATTTGGTTTTCTGTTCCTCTGTTAGTTTGCTAAGGCAAATAGCCTCCAGCTCTATCCATGTTCCCACGAAAAACATTATCTCGTTTTTTTGTTTGTTTGTTTGTTTTTATGACTGCATCATATTCCATGGTGTATATCTACCACATTTTCTTTATCCAATCTGTCACTGATGAGCATTTAGGTTGATTCTATATTTTTGCTATTGTGAATCGTGCTTAAACATTCATGGCCAGGTGCAGTGGCTCACGCCTGTAATCCCAGCACTTTGGGAGGCCAAGGTGGGTGGATCACGAGGTCAAGAAATCTAGACCATCCTGGCCAACATGGTGAAATCCTGTCTCTACTAAAAATACAAAAGTTAGCTTGGCATGGTGATGCGTGCCTGTAGTCCCAGCTACTCAGGAGGCTGAGGCAGGTGAATTGCTTGAATCCAGGAAGTGGAGGTTGCAGTGAGCCAAGATCGTGCCATTGCACTCCAGCCTGGTGATGAAGCAAGACTATGTCTCAAAAAGAAAAAAAAAAGCAAACAAAAACATTTGTGTGTATGTGTCTTTATGGTAGAATGATTTTAGCTCTTTGAGGAATCATCATACTGCTTTCCACAATGGTTACACTAACTTACATTCCTACCAACAAGGTGTATAAGTGTTTCCTTTTCTCTGTAACCTTGTCAGCAACAGTTACTTTGACTTTTTCTCAACGGCCATTTTGACCTGTGTGAAGTGGTTTTGATTTGCATTTCTCTAATGATCAGTGATATTGAGCCTTTTTTCAAAGCTTGTTGACCACACGTATATCTTAAAAAAAAAAAAAAAAAAGTGTCTGTTCATGTCCTTTGCCTACTTTTTTTTTTTTTGGAGACGGAATCTCACTCTGTCACCCAGGCTGGAGTGCAGTGGCCTGATCTCTGTCTGCTCACTGCAACCTCCACTTCCTGGGTTCATGCCATTCTCCTGCCTCAGCCTCCTGAGTAGCTGGGACTACAGGTGCCCGCCACCAAGCCCAGCTAACTTTTTTTTTTTTTTTTAATAGGGACGGGGTTTCACCATGTTAGCTAGGATGGTCTCAATCTCCTGACCTCATGATCCGCCTGCCTCCGCCTCCCAAAGTGCTGGGATTACAAGCGTGAGCCACTATGTCCAGCCCCTTTGCCCGCTTTTTAACGGAGTTGTTTGTTTTCCTTTGGTAAATTTGTCTTAGTTCCTTATAGATGCTGGATATTAGACCTTTGTTAGATGCATAGGTTGCAAGTATTTTCTTCCCATTCTGTAGGCTGTCTGTTTATTAACAGTTTCTCTTCCTGTGCAGAAGCTCTTAAATTCAATTAAATCCCATTTTTTAATTTTTGCTTTTGTTGGGATTGCTTTTGGTGCCTTTGTCATGAAATTTTTGCCCATGCTTGTGTCCTGATTGGTATTGCTTAGATAAGAAAATCTAGAAGAAACTATAAGAAACCCCTAGAAGACACTAGGGTTTTTAGAGTTTTGGGTTTTACATTTAAGTCTTTAATCCATCTTGAGTGAATTTTTGCATATGGTTTAAGGATGGGATCCAGTTTCAATTTTCTGCATATGGCTAGCCAGTTATCCCAGCACCATTTATTGAATATAGAGTCTTTTCTCCATTGCTTGTTTTTGTCAGCTTTGTTGAAGATCAGATGTCTGTAGATCTGTGGCCTTGTTTTGGGGCTCTCTATTCTGTTCCATTGGTTTATTTGCCTGTTTTTGTACCAGTATCATGCTGTTCTGGTTACTGTAGCCCTGTAGTATACTTTGAAGTCAGGTAGTGTGATGCATCCAGCTTTGTTCTTCTTGCTTAGGATTGCATTGGTTATTTGGGTTCCTTTTTCGTTCCATATGAATTAAAATTTTTTTTCTAGTTCTCTGAAGAATGTTGTTGGTAGTTTGATAAGAATAGTATTGAATCTATAAATTGCTTTGGGCAGTATGGCCATTTTAAGGATATTGATTCTTCCTATCCATGAGCACGGGATGTTTTTCCATTTGTTCGTGTCTTCTCTGATTTATTTGACAGTGTTTTGTAATTCTAATTGTAGAGATCTTTTACTTCCATGGTTATCTGTAGTCTTAGGTATTTTATTCTTTTTGTGGCAGTTGTCAGTTGTGAATGAGATTGCCTTCCTGAATTAGTTCTCAGCTTGGCTGTTGTTGGTGTATAAGAATGCTAGTGATTTTAGTACATTGATTTTGTGTCATGAAACTTTGGTGAAATGGTTTATCAGCTGAAGATTATGGAGTTTTCTAGATATAGCATCATGTCATCTACTAACAGGATAGTTTGACTTCTTCTCTTATTTGGATGCACTTTATTTCTTTCTCTTACCTAATTGCTCTAGTTAAGACTTCCCATACGATGTTGAATAGAAGTAATGAGAGAGGGCATCCTTGTCTTGCATCAGAGAACCTGCTGTTTTTTTATTCAGTGTTTAAAAAAACTTTTTATTGTAAAATCTAACAGATATAGAAGACTATATAAAACAAACCAAATACCCTTGTAACCACAGCTAGGTTTAAAAAATATATTTTTTCCATCCATCTATCCTAACCACAGTCCCTTCCCTCTTTTCAACAGTAATCACAGTCCTGATCTTTATGGTAATCACGTCTTTATTTTCTTTTTAATTTTATCACCCAAATGTTCATGCCTAAGCACTAATTTAGTTATGCTTCATACTTCTTTTTCTAGAACAGGAGTGTTTTGTTTTTAATTGTTCCTCCTTTTATTTATTTATTTTTTTTTCAATGTGTTTTTGGGAACACGTGGTATTTGGTTACATGACTAGGTTCTTTAGTGGTGATTTGTAAGATTATGGTACAACCATCACTCAGGCAGTGTACACTGTACCCAATATGTAGTCTTTTATCTCTCACCCCCTCCCACGCTTTCCCCCAAGTCCCCAAAGTCCATTGTATCATTCTTATGTCTTTGCATACTCCCATAGCTTAGCTCCCACTTGTAAGTGAGAACATATGATGCTTGGTTTTCCATTCCTGAGTTACTTCACTTAGAATAATGGTTTTCAGTTCCAACCAGGTTGCTTCAAATGCCATTATTTAATTTATTTTTATGGCTGAATAGTATGTCATGGAGTGTGTGTGTGTATATATATATATATATCTCATAACTTCTTTATTTACTCTTTGAATGATGGGCATTGGGCTGAAAGAACTTACATTTTTAACAACTTATTTAGGTGATCCTCAGGAACTCTAAACCATGGGAATCACTGCTAGCCTAACTCCGTATCACCTAAGGAGCAAGATCTATAGCCTCCGATGTATCACATTTTATTTCCGTAAGCCTTCAAAACTGATCAAGGGTGATGAAGATGGCATTATTTATCTCAATTATGTATTTTCATTCTCCTTCCTAAAAGAAAATTATATGCATCTATCTGTTAGCATGTGACTTGAAATACTTGTCTTTGTGAATACTCCATGGTCTGAGGAGGTCATTTATATCACACGTGGCCATGTAACTTACTATGGCCAATGCAGTGTAAGTAAAAGTGCTATCTGCCACCTCTGGGTAGATGCTTCAAGAGCCATCCCATGGCTCTGTCACTGTTCTTTCCCTTTGCCACAAGACCAAGATAAGGCTCTTTCCTTTAGTCTCAATCACCAAATAAGGAAGATATGTGAGGCAGACCCACAGCTCTCCTAGAACCTACATTGACAGAGTAGGAAATAAACTGTTATTGTTGTAAAGCACTGAGACCTTGAACTTGTTTTTCTTTTTTAATGGAGCATAACATAAAGAAAGATTTCCAATCCATGGAGATAAAATAGTTTTTAAAATTTTCTTTCCTATGACAAATATATGGCCACATAAAAGCAAAAAGTAGCTTGTGCTGCCTCTAAGGTGGTGCAGTAAGTGCACCCACAAATGCCTAATGAAAGGACAGTCCCAATGTGTATACCAGCTACATACTAGTTTCATCCTGCCTTAGCACTCCCATCCTGCATTGTCTCAAGGACAGCAATAGAGCTTTAATCTGTCTTCAAAACAATGGAAGGATGGATTATTTGCCCTGCTCTCCTCCTATACATATATACAGTTTGGGCAAGAGGAATACCACCAGGCAAATTGTTTTCAAATCTATCTAATTTCTTCAAGACTTCTCCTGTTTGTTTTTCTAAAATCACTTTCTCTCCTTCCATGGCAACAGGACAAGACAAACAGTTCTCTTTTAATATTCAAGAGCTGTTGCTCTCAGACAATGTAGTGCTGTTCAGCAGAAAAGCCCTATTCAGCGTAT